GTGTGTGTGTGTGTGTGTGTGTGTGTGTGTGTGTGTGTGTGTGTGTGGTGCTGACCAATAAATATGCCTTTCTTTAGGCTGTAAGTTATTTCCTGATATGAAGTGACCTTCCCCTTCTTTTCTGCTGCTTGCGATATTAATCACCTGCTTATTAATGGCCCGTTCACAAAAGTTATTAGAGCGATTTCGTATCAAATGGATATACTGTTAAAGCTGCAGGGGTGGCATATTACAGTTTGAGAATTATTATTTGAGGGTTATTATTGCTGTTTGCTTTTTCCTTTGCTGACCCTTTGCGTGGTACAACTCCAAGGCTGATGGCAGCTTTCCGAACATTGGGCAGGTGGTCAGTTTTCCTGTGTAAACCAGACCTTGAATGTCACAAGTATGTTTAACGCAAGATGCATCACTGCAATGCAAACCATCTTGAACTGGCATCCATTGGCACATTGCCATACAAGACACTGGACTGTACTCAAAAGCAGGAAACCTTTCTGAATTTTTCTGCTTGCTACTTCAATGTGACTGAAGGCAATTATAGTGCTCCAACTGTTGTCATGGCAAAGCCCAGCCTGCTCATTACAGATCTGGGATTAAGTCTTGGTCTTTCTGGTTTGGGATGATTTAGTACTGCGCCATGTATTTGAACAGGCTACATTTCAATAGAACATAGAACATAGAACATAGAACATTACAGCACAGTACAGGCCCTTCGGCCCTCGATGTTGCGCCGACCTGTGAAATCAATCTGAAGCCCATCTAACCTAAACTATTCCATTATCATCCATATGTTTATCCAATGACCATTTAAATGCCCTTAAAGTGGGCGAGTCTACTATTTTTGCAGGCAGGGCATTCCAAGCCCTTACTACTCTCTGAGTAAAGAACCTACCTCTGACATCTGTCCTATATCTATCACCCCTCAATTTAAAGCTATGTCCCCTCGTGCTAGCCATCACCATCCGAGGAAAAAGGCTCCCACTGTCCACCCTATCTAATCCTCTGATCATCTTGTATGTCTCTATCAAGTCACCTCTTAACCTTCTTCTCTCTAACGAAAACAGCCTCAAGACCCTCAGCCTTTCCTCATAAGACCTTCCCTCCATACCAGGCAACATCCTGGTAAATCTCCTCTGCACCCTTTCCAATGCTTCCACATCCTTCCTATAATGCGGTGACCAGAACTGTACGCAATACTCCAAGTGCGGCCGCACCAGAGTTTTGTACAGCTGCAACGTGACCTCATGGCTCCGAAACTCAATCCCTCTACCAATAAAACCTAACATACTGTACGCCTTCTTAACAACGCTATCAACCTGGGTGGCAACTTTCAGTGATCTATGCACATGGACACCGAGATCTTTCTGCTCATCCACACTACCAAGAATCTTACCATTAGCCCAGTACTCTGTATTCCTGTTACTCCTTCCAAAGTGAATCACCTCACACTTTTCCGCATTAAACTCCATTTGCCACCTCTCAGCCCAGCTCTGCAGCTTATCTACGTCCCTCTGTAACCTGCAACATCCTTCCGCACTATCCACAACTCCACCAACTTTGGTGTCATCCGCAAATTTACTAACCCATCCTTCTACGCCCTCATCCAGGTCATTTATAAAAATGACAAACAGCAGTGGCCCCAAAACAGATCCTTGAGGTACACCACTAGTAACTGAACTCCAGGATGAACATTTCCCATCAACCACCACCCTCTGTCTTCTTACAGCTAGCCAATTTCTGATCCAAACCGCTAAATCACCCTCAATCCCATGCCTCCGTATTTTCTGCAATAGAATACTTACCGTAAACACCACTTTCAGGTTGTTCAACATATCGATTTCTTTTGGGAGGCCCCCACTCCCCCACCGCACTAAATAATTCTCACTGGAGAAGAGAGGAGAGAAACATGAACGATTTAGTCAAGTCTAGATGTGCTTCCGTTGTGTGCTTGTCACAAGACAGACAGCACCACATTTTGTAGGAGAGCTGTGATTTGGATATCTGAGCTGTCCTCCATTAACATGTCCCCTTTGATGGAACAATGCATGGTCTTTACTGCCAAGCAGTTCTCATTCCAGTGCCACCAAGTGGGCCATTGTTGCTACCAGGACAAGCAACATCATTAAAATCAAAGGGATCGAGTAAATGTTTTTTGATGAGGGGAAGGGTTAATTCTGGGATTAGGTATTGCAGGAATTCAGGGGGCAGAGGTATTAGAAGCGAGGGTAATTGTATCATTTCTAGCAGCCTCCCCCTCTTCCATATGTCCAATCCCTTGATCATGCACAAGTGAGTGCAAGATGAGGAACAGCCACCCTCCAATGAACAGTCTGACTTCATCCATTTTCCAGTCAGGTGGACTGACTCTTTTTTAACCACCTGGAGCTGGGATAATCGCAGCCTGGAAGGGAATAGGCCATTAAATGGTCATGGAATCGTCACTCAAGGACCTCAATTGTCAATGGGCTGTGAAGGTGTAGCCTTCCCACCCATAATGTAATTCAGGCCCAAGCGAGGAGGAAGTAGGCCTCTAGTCTATCCCACCTCACCAAGCTCCTTTCCCAGCTCCAGGATGGAAAGGCTCTGCCCACGCAGCCTGAAAATGTTATTCATCAGCAATCTTTTTGCACTGGTTCACTCCTTTAATGTTTCAGGCCAAGGTCACTTTGTTCAGAAATGTGATGAAGCCAGTTAGTTTATCCAGAAGTTGCCCAACGAATAAAGATGTGCGAATGAATCACAGAATCCCTACAGTGTGGAAAGAGAGAGCCTGCAGTGTCCCTCTGAGGATCATCCACCTCAGCCCCCCACCCTATAACATAACAATGCATTTCCCATAACTAACCCACCTAGCCTGCATTCCCTTGGACACCATGGGCAATTTAGCATGGTCATCCCATCAAACCTGCACATCTTTGGACTCTGGGAGGAAACCCACGCAGACACAGGGAGAATGTACAAATTCCACACAGACAGTCTCCTGAGGCTGGAATCAAACCTGCATCCCTGGCGCTGTGAGGCAGCAGTGCTAACCACTGACATACCGTGCCATCCAAAGCAGGGTTCAATAGTCAACTCACCTGATGATCGATTGTTTCTGAGGGTCGTACAATGCCATGAAGAGTTCAGAATCCTCTCCTATCCGACACACAAAGTTTCGTACAAACACGTAGAGGCTGTGTGTTGGGGATGATGCCATCCGCGCAAAAGTGGAGCTATCAGTTTGAGTCTGAGACTGCAGAAACAAGCAGAGTCAATATGTTTCTTTGTCACATGAATATATCTCCACACAAATTACAAAGTGAGGCCTCAATGCAACTCCCTAATTAGTAACCTGAAGGTGCATGACTTTGGCTGAGATAATTTTACCAGCAATTCTCCCTTCATTTTTCCTTTCATAATGTTGCTCATCCTCTCTTACCTGTTCCCTAAATTGGACATCCTTTTTTCTTTGGCTATTCACACTAATTCAAAGATAGACTGGTGCAGGAATTTATCAGAACCTTTGTCTTTCAAGGAGTAACCCCTTCTTATGATATGATGCACCGTCCCTTGAAGTCTCCCTCTCTCTATTTTCCCAATGCTCCTGGAATAGCCATTCATCTAATTTCCTCCATCCCTCCATGCTCCTTACTCCTTTAAATATTCTGCAGCAAATGTCAGGCTTGAGGTTGTAGACTTGCTCGCCAAGCTGGCGTGTTTGATTGCAGACGTCTCATATTCTGCTCGGTAACATCGTCAGTGCACCTCCGGTGAAGCGTTGGTGATCTGTCCTGCTTGTTATTTATATGTCTTATTTGCTGGGGTGGTTGGCATCATTTCTGGTTCTGTTCTTCAGTGGTTTGTATATCAGGTCCAGTTCAATGTGTTTGTTGATGGAGTTCCGATTGGAATGCCAGGCCTCCAGGAATTCCCTGGCATGTCTCTGTCTGGCTTGTGCTATTACAGATGCGTTGTCCCAGTCGAATTCATGTCCTTCTTTTTCATTGTGTATTGAGACTAGTGAGAACTGGTTGTGTCTCTTGGTGGCGAGTTGGCATTCGTGTATCCTTATTGACAGTTTTCTTCCAGTTTGGCCGATGTTATATTTCTCACAGCCCTTCCATGGTATTTTGTATATTACCCCAGTTTTATTGGTTGTGGGTACAGGATCCTTTACATTCGTCAGTAGTTGTCTCAGGATAGTTGTTGGTTGTAGGCTATCCTGATACTCAGAGGTCTGAGTAGTCTTGTGGTCATCTCTGATATGTCTCTGATGGTGACCAGTGTGTCTGGCTATGTTGTGTTTTCTTGATATAGTCTGTCACGGAGGTAACAGTGGATTGTGCTTTTTGGGTATGCAGTAAAAACTCCGTATATATGCTTCTGTTCTGCTTTGCGCAATTCTGGTACAAGCCCAACAGAGCACCAACGCTTTACTGGAGGCGTAGTGAGGATGTTACCGAGCAGGGTGACGAAATGTCTGCGATCAAACACACTGGCTCAGCAAGCAAGGCTGTAACCTCATCCACAACCTGAGCTACAAATCTTCTCAAAAACTCTAAATGTCAGGCTTGTCATGTGTGGAATGATCAGATGATGGTGTCCCAGAAACAATTACAGATGATTTAATTTATTTTTGGCAGAGTGTGAAGTACAAGGCGACTTTGAGAAGCTGAGAGGATGTCAATAAAGTTGTTCACAAGCTGTTCACTGGAGTTTTCTGCTTCACTCGACCAAAGTCATTGCTGATGTTTGCTACGTCTCAGTTTTATATGCAAGTGCTGTTAATTTTTGGCAGTGAGTGTCATGAACCTCAAATGATATTAGGATAGATTTCAGTCCTTTTCTCAAATAAAACAAAGAAGTCTGGAAGCTGGAAGACTGAAACGGAAACAAAATTTGCTGGAGAAACTCATTAGGCCTGGCAGCATCTGTGAAGAGAAAACAGAGATAACATTCTGAGACCAGTGACCCTTCTTTAGAACTAGTAACTAGTTTGAAGAAGGTTCACTGGACTCGAAACATTAACTCTGCTTTCACTCCAGAGATGCGGCCAGGTTTGCTGCGTTCGTCCTGCAATTTCTGTTTTGGTTCTAGTCCTTGTTTCACATCGTATCCTTCTCCTGTTTGAACTTGTACCTTCCTCAGTTCTGCAGGGAGAATACTGAGCAAACGATGGATGGTGTTTAAAAGTAGAATAGTATATAGTGTGGTGATACAAGGGTTTAAGAGATGTATTTTGTCTTGGTTTATTTTATGAAGAAAGGTTGAGATAGAGGAGCTGGGCAGTCTGCTCCAAAGCCAATAAAGTAAACAGGTTGTGAGGTCTTGATTTTTTAAAAAATGTTGGAACAATAGAAGCATCATTGATGGGTGGGATCAAGCTCCCACAGAATTAAGATTTTTAGTTTTAGATTTTCAGTGGCAGTTGCTGGGATCTTGAAGCCAGGTCTGGAAGCTGTAGTACATCTCTCCCTGCTACTGTCTCTTCCTCTCTCTCTCTCAGAGTTTTCTCTTGATGTTTTTCTTGCTGGACTAAAGAATTACATGTGAGACAATCTATTTTACCAAATTTGCCTTTGCCAAGGGTGTGTTTATTGGACGTTACTATATTAGAGCAGTTACTGTTTAGTCGTTAAATAAGCTATTATTCTGTTTACGTTTTCTAATAGAGTTGTTATTCCAGGTATTTTTTTCTTTCTTTTGTTGTATTTTAACTATGGTGTATTTTAATTATGGTGTATGAATAAAGTGTGTTTTGATTCAAAACTAGCAGTTTAACCAGGCACTTAACTTTAAAGTAAGAAAAATTATAGTCTAGACAATCTTCGTAATATATTTTGAGGGAATTTAGTCTAGTCCATAATAATAATAATTTTTGAGATTTCTGGAGAAGTCAAATGGATCTGAATGGGATCTTCCAATCTTGTCCAAAGATACATTTCAAACTTATGAGATATAACGTAGTAAAAAATGGCAGCATTTCCATTTTGTTCAAACAATAGAAAATGAAAAAATTTCTTCAGATCTAATGCCTCCAGTTTTACGTTTACAATGTTCGGTGGAGGAGTATTGAAGAAAGCCTCACTCAAAATCTTCAGTGCTGTAAATGCTTCTCAAGTTTATCGGACAATTTAAGAAACTGACCTCCTTTGGACTGGTGGGAGAAGGGGGCAAGATGCAGAGGAGTTACAACAAAGGAAGATGCCATTTGATAGAATGTGTCAACTTTTACGCTCCATGTAAATATTTCACAGTAACTATACTGTTTTTAGATACATATAGATCCCTTTAATCACCCACTTATCCAACCCTGAATGTCAACAGAGTTTTGGCCTTAAATACTAAAGTTGCAACTTAATATCAAAACCTCATCACTGTTAAATAAGTTTCTCCTATGTTTCAAAATCTCAAAAACATGTGCAAAATGTATATCACTCAGAGATAGCAAGAACTACCGATGTTGGAGTCAGAGAAAACACAGTGTGGAGCTGGAGGAACACAGCAGGCCAGGCAGCATCAGAGGTGCAGAAAAGTTGACATTTTGGGTCAGGACCCCTCTTCAGAAATGGGGAGGGAGTGGGAGCTGGGCAATAAATAGAGAGAGGAAGGATGGGACTGGGGAAGGTTGGTGGAATGGTGATAGGTGAGTGCAGATAGGGAGTGGTGGGGATTGGTCAGTGGGATGGATGGAAGAGAAGATGGACAGGTTGTGTCAGGTCAAGGAGGTGAGGATGAGAAGGAGGGTTGGACATGGGATGAGGCCAGGGATGGGGAGATTTTAAAACTGGTGAATTCCATGTTTAGGCCATCGGGCTGTAGGCTCCCAAGGCGGAATATGAGGTGTTACTCCTCCAGTTCGCGGGTGGCATCATTGTGACACTGGAGGAGGCCCAGAATGGACATGTCACCCAGGGAGTGGGAGGAGGAGTTAGAATGGTTGGTGACCATAAGGTGTTGTTGTGAGTCGTGTATAGAGCGCAGATGCTCTACGAAACGGTCTCTGAGCCTACACTCAGTCTCACTGATGTAGAGAAGGCCACATTGGGAGCAGCGTATCCCATTTCATCAGAGAGAAGAGTGACAATTCTTGTATGTTTTTTCTGGAAACCTTTCTGCAGAAGATGTGGGTTTCAGTTTGTGAAGTTATGCTTCCTCTCTGAATCCGGCCGCTAAGCGACTCAAGGTCAAAGTGCAAAATTAATGGTGCAAATGTGTGAAGTCCCACAGTCCTCAGATCTTCACTGTATACCTGACTTTTACAGTCTGCCCCAGTTTACTATCAAAGTTGGAATCAGTACCAAGTGCCGACAGACACTGTCCCTCTTAACATTTTCATCCTGCATCCTGCACTCAAAATCCACCGAAACCCTGGGAGAGTGAACTTCTTTACTAGCCACAGTCTAAGCTTCTCAGTAATTTATCATTGTTTGCTTTCATTTTTTATTCTCTTGTGGGACAGCTTTGTTCAGTTGGTAGGACACTCTTTCACTCTGAAGCAGAATGTTGTAGGCTAAAGTCCTGCTTTGGGATTTGGGCATGTAAGCTGGGCTAATTTTTGAATACAGCAGTGATGGCTGCCCTTCAAAACAGCTCACAGCACTCTCCTGAGAGCTGTGGTAAGTCACAATAATAAAACGAAGTGTTTTCTTTAGGTACGTCAAGGGAAATGACTGCCTGCTTAGCTCAACAACTTTTGTTAAAAAGAGGTTTCTAGCTCCTACATCATATCTAGTTAAAACTGAATTAATAAATCTATTCAAATATTAAACATACACACACGCACTTACAATTATATTTTAAATAATTAATTCAATTTTTAACTTGACATCAGTTCAACTCACTATCCCTTGATCCCAAATTTTATTTATTTTAGCTGTGGCATTTTCTGAAACTCAACCAGTATAACCTAAACTAATGCAGAAAGAAAGGCATGCATTTATGTAGTGCCTGTCTCAAGTTCAGGACATACAGATGTACATCAAGTTATTTTAAGCTGCAATAACTCTCACAAAGTGGAAACACAGCTGCCAATTTTCAGGATAGCAAAAGGCTTACAAATAACAATGAGAGGATGTTTTGGTGATATTGATTGAGGGGAAAGTATTGTAAGGACACCGGGAAAATTTTCCTATCTTCTAAATAGGGCTTTGAGATCTTTCTTATCCAATTGAGAAAGCAGACAGAGGCCTGCTATAATATTTCATTTCAAATGTCTCACTTCTGACAGTGTAGTCCTCCTGCACAACATCT